TTTTTTGCTGTAGAAACGTCAGTCCCATAGCCGTTTGCGAAATCCACGAGTTTTTGTATGTTTTTGCGGTCGCCATAAATCAGAGTGAAACAAAATGAACTGTACGTAACACTCCGTTTCAATGGTCGGGTCGGATATCGTGTGGATATCGCGACGTGTGGAAGGCGCGAGTGAACTCGGCACGGGCCCAAAAATTAGCTGGCAGATCGGCTCCAAGGAACACAATTGTAATCGTTTCTGACCATATGTCGGCTACAGTTAGAAATCATCTCACACGTGCGTTCTACTTCCACCTTTACGCTCCGCGAACGGTGGAGCGCGTGTAATCGCGAATGATGTATGTAGTTTAATACGTGTTTACTTTGTCGACAGTCGAATTTTTGTCAGCAGTTTGAACGCGAAGTTTAACAGCGACATGGATGTGAAAGTCACTATTTTTCAAGATAAATATTTTTTTAGGTTTAATAGAGATATCGTTTTGATGAATTGAGCGAAACGATGGAAACAGGTTGATAATACATCAGACATATGTGCGACGATTTTGTCAAATTCCTAGATTATCGAAAAATTAGCCAGATCTATCTGACAGGATGATTAATAATGACGTAAAGCGTATAGCTTAATGCATGTTTATCGTCAACAGTCAGGAATCTGAACGCGAAATTTAACAGCTTGCGACACTGGTATGAAATATGTCCCTGCTATAACTATTTTTCGACGTAAATACATTTTTACGTTTAATAGAGATATCGTTTTGACGAATTGAGCGAAACCGTGGAAACATTTGTAGTAATATATCAAACGTCGATACGAGGATTTTGTAAAAAAATTTCTAGATTATGGAAAAATTAGGTGACAGAACGATTAATTAAAGTCCGAATGGAAGCGCGATAAAACCGCGTCGTGTCGAAAATGCATAATGGCGATTGAATTCGAGTGGGGTATCGCGACCTCGATATGATGTTCACGCGGCTTCCGCGTCGCGGAAGCAAATAAATCGAGGGTGGCGTCGCGAACACACCGAAGGTCGGAAGGTCGGAAGGGCGCGAGCCCGTTTCATTTCGCGATGCGAGATTCGCTCAATTACCAGGCCGCGGATAAATTACGAGTTTAACGCGACAGAAGCCGCCTGCGATCGGAAGCTATTCGGAACAGATCTATACGCGAACTAATTGGAATTTAAGCTCCAATCTTTCGTTTCGTCGATTTTTTCAGATTTATTTATAAACTGAATTGTAATGACGCACACGCAAAACCGAAAGTAAAATTTTTTAATATGTAATTATTAAGAAATTTTACTATTAATATAATTATTTAAAAATATTATTTAATATAATTTAAAAAAATTCTATTTAATATAATTATTAAAGAATACTATTTAATATAATTTTTAAAAATACTATTTAATATAATTTTAAATAATAGTATTTAATATAATTATTAAAAAATGTTATTATTAATATAATTATTAAAAAATACTATTTAATATAATTTAAAAAATACTATTTAACACAATTATTGAAAAATTTTACGATTAATATCAAACCTTGAAATATACTAATTTCAAAATTTCATAAAGAACTTTGACTTTTTGATCAATCCTAAAAAAAATCAGAATATTAAATTAAATATTTTTGCAAATACTCTAATTAAATCTTTTATTTTAGGATGATACTTGGGATTATAATAGAGAATTTAGGATTATAATATTTCGTATGTTTGACAGGCTAATTGTATATTGATTCCTTAATTAATTACGCTCGTTCTCGAAAATGATTTAGAATCGCGGAGATCATTCCATCACACGCCTGCCCTAATCGCGCTCGATTTAGTTCGTCGCTTTCGAAAGCTACGTGCGCGTTGTACAGGCACGCTTAAATCCGTATAAATACCTCGTGAATCTACCCATTAATCAGATTGACGATAGGAGCTCGACGCCTGAGTGATTTCCATCCCCCTCGCCATCCCCGGGGTGTTCCTTTTTTTTTCTTCTTCCGCGAGCCTCTCCATAGGATTGCCTCCAGCAGTCTGGCTTCAGAGGTCACTAGAAGGTGGCAGCACCTCGATTAAAATTCGACACGAACCTTCTGCGAGAATCCGATGTGTGCTGTGTCATGCTCCACTTATATATATATATATATATATATATATATATATATATATATATATACAGGGTGTCCCAAAAGTCCCGGACCGGTCGAATATTTCATAAACTATGCACTTTAGAAAGAAATGTTTCAGACAAAAGTTGTATGGCTTGAAGGGGGCCATCAGATAGTGGCAATGATTTGACATGGGAGAGTCATTTGAAAGTCACGTGAAGATCACCGTCAATTTCTTAAATGGAACTCCCGATTTTTTATTAAATATTCTGGTAGCTCACGTCGAGAGCTTTCCAAAACACTATAATTAAGTTAGTTTTCATGGAGTACTTTCCGAGTTATGAGGCTTGAAATCATTTCTTAATTTTACATAAACCGTAAAATATCTTATAAAATATTCATTTTTCGATTATCTTAATACTTTTATGTACAAAATAATGAGAGGAATCAATTGGTGTAAAGAAAAAACATAGTTGTTTTTACGAAAAAAATATGTAATTTGCAATTAACAATTACATTTTTTTTTAAACAACTATGTGTTTTCTTTACACCAATTGTTTCCTCTTATTATTTTGTACATAAAATTATTAAGGTAAGATAATCGAGAAATGAATATTTTACTAGATATTTTATGATTTATGCAAAATTAAGAAATGATTTCAAGCCTCATAAATATCGAAAAGTACTCAATGAAGAAATACTTTATTATAATGTTTTGGAAAGCTCTCGAGATAAGCTACACAAATATGTAATAAAAAATAGGGAGTTCCATTTAAGAAATTGACGGTGATCTTCACGTGACTTTCAAATGACTCTCCAAGGTCAAATCATTGCCACTGTCTGATGGCCCCCTTCAAGCCACACAACTTTTGTCTGAAACATTTCTTTCTAAAGTGCATAGTTTATGAAATATTCGACCGGTCCTGGACTTTTGGGACACCTTGTATATATGTCGCTGTACATGACATGTACATGTACCTAGGTATATGGCAGCAGTCGGGCTGCAAACGTATGATCCTCGTGGCACGAGCGAGTGCACAATTCATGTGTATAGGTGCGAAGTCGGGGAGAACTTGGCCTGCGTTTCGTGGATTGTGAGAGAAATATCGTTTAGCCGCCGACGAGAAGGGTTGAGAGTTTGGGGAGACGTGTGCGGAAGTCAATTCCGATCATCCCCGCTGCTTACGATGATGTTTTTAATGGCCGCTAACGAATCCTTGCAATTGCGCAGAGACTTGCTTCCTTCCGTTCTCTGATATTTTTCAATCAGTGATCCGGATCTTCGAAATTTCTCTCTCGCTCATGAGCGACGAAAAATAATCGCGTTGCCCATTTTATCGTCATTCATTATAGCTCTTTAAGGTTTCGATTATTAAATATTATTAAATATTTTTCTAAGCGCATTCTCTTTCACACGAGTAATTATAAGATTCTGTTGGAATAAAATCTAAATTTAAAATTAATCAAGAAACCTCTCGTGTTGTATGTAGGACATTCGTTCCTTCATTTCGAGGCAAAGAGCGAGCTTGGTCATTCTCCCGTTTGTTACTTTGCTGTTGAAAATAAATTTCGAATAGTATCTTGCAATTGTTCGGTAGATTTAAGCTACTTTCGCGGTGTAAAATGCCGAGTCGGTTGTTTCAGCCCGCGCATTTACGAGTCGCAGCCCGAATAATGTATAATCTTGTAAATTACTTTCTTGGATGCGGAACCGCGCATGTATCCTTTCCCCAAAAGAATCGTGCGGTTTTCTTTAATGCCGTCAGCAACGGGGCAGCAAAGATAAAGTTTATCTTCGCTGGCGAATTATTCGTGCAACCGCGAGAGACTGCTACATCAAGTAGTTTACGATTTTCACGGGCTTGCATGCTAACGATGCTCTCCATATGGTTTGTCATGAGCCTTACCTATAGAACAATGTAAACTTTACACTGTAAAGTTATTTAACCGTGGCTGACATTACACGTTTCGATGTTCGTTCACATAATTGAGTTTCCTTGTTCCACGCGTTGCAACTTTATAAAGTCCTCTGTGTAAATTAGCGGACTTAATTACGTTCATTCGTAAAAACATTATCTTGTCGAAGATTCGAATCAACGAGAAATTTATTCGTCTTACATATTTGACAATTTTATATAATATATATACACAGAAAAAAATAAGTGTCAAATCAAACTTGAACTAACGCATTCATTGTTTCGTATATACAGAACAATTTATAATCTTCTTAGAAAAATTTAATAATTTTAAATTTCAACAATATTAAAGTCTTATTTTATTATTTTATTATTCCATTATTTTATTATTTTATTATTTTATTATTTTATCATTTTATCATTTTATCATTTTATTATTTTATTATTTTATTATTTTATTATTTTATTATTTTATTATTTTATTATTTTATTATTTTGTTATTTTATTATTTTATTGTTTTATTATTTTATTATTTTATTATTTTATTATTTTATTATTTTATTATTATTATATTATTTTAATATTGTAATTGTCACCTCAAAAATATATAATTATTTAATTCTGCTTTAGGAAAATTATAATCGTTGATTTAAAAATGTTATTTTCTACCCAACATTGTTTCTTTTCTATTCAAGAAAATTAAATCTTAAATCGTGAGAATATATTTTTCTCGATTGAACTATAGAAAATGGCTTCATTCAAGTAAGCAATTATATTTTTCTTAAATTAACGCGATATAATCTCATTTCAAGATTTCCATGTTAACTATGTAACACTAAATATATTTTCAAAATAAGAATATCCTTTTTTTCTGTGTATATATATATATATACCCCATGCGCGTTATGCGTCATATAATTTCATTTTTTAATGCATTCCGCTTTGAGCCATGTGCGCGTCGTTACTTTGCCATTTTCCCCTTTCGAATCTAGACATATCGCGTTCAAGGTTACGCCTCGCATGCAAATACGCGATTACTTTGCGCAACTCTCGTCCATCTCTTCCGCCGCGAATTTATCGGCCCCGACGACAGAAGCGTTAGACGTACGAGCGTCGATTTGTCGACGATGAGAATTATTTGGCACAGCGCGAAGCGAATCCACGGAGAATAACGGACGATTATCTCGCGGGGTCGACGCAGAGCGACACTCGCCTCGCTTCTACAACGACAAAAAACGGATGATTCTCCCTCCGTACACCTTGACATTAATTTACATCCTCGGTAATCCTTAATTTACAACTCCAACGAGTTCTCCGGGGGTACGTTAGGTAACCAGCCAGCTAGGTAGGTAGGTAGGTAGGTAACGAACAGCACCATCGGTAGCTTCGCACAGAAATTGGCACGGTAGTGCACCCACACCGCCAAGCATAAAAGTGGTAAGTAGACGTAGGTGAGGAAGTCGCGGGAGAAAGATGGAGAGAGGGGACGTGAACGGGATGGCAGCGGATGGAAGAAAGCGGAGGAGGATGTGCGAGGGGGTTGGTGAGGGTGAGGATTCGACAGACACCGCGAGCAGAGATAGGGATAGGGGCTGTGGCTGGGGCCGGATAGTCGGACTTTACCGAGAGATAGATAGAGAGAAAAAGAAAGAAAGAGAGAGAGAGAGAGAGCGATCGCCCTCACAGCTCGTGGTGGTGGATGCCGGTGGTGCTGGTAGGGGCTGGTGGACTCCGGGACAGCCGTGGTGGGGACGAAGAGGGATGAAGAAGGGAGGAGAGCAGCGACGTGGAGGGTGGACGGAGGTCGAGAGTCGCGGGCTGCCTCACTCTGCGGCTCCCGCCGCTCGGGAGCAGACACGCGGGGCCAAAGACTAATTTGAACTATTTTATTAACAAAAACAATACATATTTGTAAATAACACTACTAACAACACGAAACAGCAACAACACATTTCTCCTATAAGGACTCTCTTTAAAACCTTACCTTACACCCGTAAGACAACCGCCTGTTGTAAAAAAAGAAAGAAGGGTAAAGAAAGGAAGGAAGACATACGTGGTGAACGAGAGCGCGTGGCCGTAGAGAGAGAAAGAGCGAGCGAGAGAGCTTGAGAGGAAGGGAGAGGGAGAGGGCGAGACGTGCAACGAGGTAATTTCCATTTCCGGTTTCTTTTTTCCGAAGGCAAACGTGTTTGCAACACACGCGCACACAAGCAGTACACAGTAAACAAGAAACAAGCTACAAAAGAACGATAGAAAAATCTATTTTCTCAAGTTATTCCTCGTTCGGACGGGTGCGCGACGCGAAGTGAAGAGGACTAGACGGAGATGTGAACGCGAGGAAGGGCGAGATATCGTAAAATAGCGCGCGTCGACTGCTACGGGACGGGATAATCGCATTTTAAGTTCCCTCTGTACTCTGTGTGACCCTTACATTATTTTGTCCCCCCGATGGGGACGGGTTCAGTGTTGTAACTTAGGATATAAGAAGACTAAAAAGAGCTCCGGAGCGCACAACAAAAAGGGAGAGCAAGGAGAGACTGGAATTCTGCGAGAAATAAGAAGATACAGATATATCGAGACAGAAAAAAAAAGAGTGTGTGGTAGTGACCGGAAACGCGCCCACATCAGGGAACGTTTATACGGAAACGAGAGGAGAGAATCCGGAGCAATCCGAGGCGCAATCAACAATCAAGGGAGGGAGGAGGAAGCGACGAGAGAAAGGAAGGTTCACGAAGAGAGGGATATAGCTCGTGTAGAAAAAAACAAAGGAGCTCCAATTTTTTATACTAGAGGAAGAATCTAACCAAAAAAGCGTAAGATAGAGAGAGAGAGGGGGAGAGAAGGAAAGTCAGGAAAAAGGAGGATCGATCCTGTTTGTGTTTCCGCGTGCACTTTCACGTGTATCCTTTCGCTACGAAGGACGAAACTGCGAGAACTTTAATCCTTGATCTCTTGGAAATCTGTCGTGCGAAGGGGATAAGAGACGATTGTCAGGGGATCCAGGGGACCGATCGCGGCACGTTTATGACACAGTTGATCGATATCCGGTCTGAAATCGCGTAATCCGACTCGCGTGCACGCTCCTTTGGGAGGATATGTCTTGCCGTTCCAGAGGGAGTCATCATTCGGGAGAGCAATCCTCGCAACGTCGATCCGAGTGCCGTTCTTGCGTCCTGGATCCCGCGACCAAGCTGATCAAGCTGTCCTGACGAAAAGAGGATAGTCCCCTCAGCTCGTCTCGATCGAAGAAGCGCGATCATCGGCAAACGGCCGTCATATCAGATACGCAATTGTCCACCAAGCACGTCACGGGGCCTCCGCGAAGAAGAGCCCGCTCAGGGATGCCCGCCAGGGCCCAGCTACGCTCCCGTCTCCCCTACGTTCAAGGACGATGACGATCGGCCACGGCGATCGGTAAGAACCGAGCAGCGCGAACACGCGCCACCACCACGGAGATGGCGGGCTACAATCATTCGAATCCACAGCGTGTCGTCTACCACGCGACCTACCCGACGCCCCTCGCCCCAAGTGAGTTTATCTGCTATTTATGCGCCCGATAGAGAACGCACTGAGAAAAAAATCTGGTTGCATTAATTAGAATTCTGGTAGATTCAACCAGTATGTCTGTTGGAAAATGAACGAACCAGAATTCTTGTAGGAATTATCAGATGAATCTGATAAATTTCTTCCTGTTAAATTTACTAAATTTTCTGGTTAATAATACTAAACTCCCCAGCACTAAGTCGTCTAAAGTTTTTTCCATCTAATTTCAAAAGTCTGTTTAATATTTTCAATTCCAACAAGATTATTGGATAAATTCAATCCAGATTGTTGAATAAATTATTTTAAATTCAGTTTGTTAAAAATTAAACTGATAAACAGTGATGCAAGAAAAAAATGCAGAAACACACACAATCAGAGAGCTAGCATCCTCTTTCTGGCACTATTGCTAGTAAGAGAAAAAAAATATACTAAGAAAAAAATCTGGTTGCATTAATTAGAATTCTGGTTGATTCAACCAGTATGTCTGTTGGAAAATGGACGAACCAGAATTCTTGTAGGAATTATCAGATGAATCTGATTAATTTCTTCCTGTTAAATTTATCAAATTTTCTGATTAATAATACTAAACTCCCCAGCATCAAGTTGTCTAAAATTTTTTACATCTAATCTCAAAAGTCTGTTTAATATTCTGAATTCTAACAAGATTATTGGATAAATTCAATCCAGATTTGAATAAGTTATTTTAAATTCAGTTTGTTAAAAATTAAACTGATAAACAGTAATGCAAGAAGAGGATGCAGCTCAAACACACACTATCAGAGAGCTAGCGTCCTCTTTCTGGCACTACTGCTCGTAAGAGAAAAAAAATACACTCAGAAAAAATCTGGTTGCATTAATTAAAATTCTGGTCGATTCAACCAGTATGTCTGTTGGAAAATGGACGAAATAGAATTCTTGTAGAAATTACCAAATGAATCTGATTAATTTCTTCCTGTTAAATTTACCAAATTTTCTGGTTAATAATAACTAAACTTCCCAGCACCAAGTCGTCTAAAGTTTTTTCCATCTCATTTCAAAAGTCTGTTTAATATTTTGAATTCCAACAAGATTATTGGATAAATTCAATCCAGATTTGAATAAATTATTTTAAATTCAGTTTGTTAAAAATTAAACTGATAAACAGTAATGCAAGAAGAGGATGCAGCTCAAACACACACTATCAGAGAGCTAGCGTCCTTTTTTGGCACTATTGCTCGTAGAGAAAAAAAATATACTTTGGACTTAATGTTAATACTAGTTCTTTATATACATTTTATGGCAAATATTGAATACGAGTTAAGTTAAGAGTGGCTTGCCGCCTAGCGGCAAGCAAAGAAATTAATGTAACAAGAAATTTTATAGATCCAACCAGAAAATATTAACCAAATGCTTATAGTAAAATTTAACGTTCTATAAAAAATATAGATATTATAAAAAATCGAGTCTTATCATGATAACTAGAAATTCTTGTTTGATTTAACCAAAATGCTTTCAATCATATACATCTTGTTGGTACAATCAAACGATTTTTCTCAGTGCGACAATACGCTGAACGCTTGTCATAGTCCTGGATTTATCATTGAGAATTGTGCGGAATTTATTTTAAATATCATTATTGAAATATAATAGATTGCATGAGAGAATTTGAGAATTACTTCAAGTGTCTTTCATTTGGTTATCTAGGGGAAATTAAATTTGTAAGATTTTAAAGAAGTAAATCTCTTCTTTACTTTTGTTTTCTTCTTCTCAATTTAATCGTTAATCGTTTGTTTAAATTTATTGAATAAAATCTACTAATTGATGTCAAAGAAATTTTATTTTAATTTGTGAAAATAATTTTTCTTATAGATTTATATTGTAGAAAAATTCTGTATACGAGTTTAAATTCCTTTGATAATTCGATATTTATGAATCAATTATTAAGTTTTTATATTCATAATGTTCGTATTGTTCTTTCATGTATTATTCTGACAAAATAGCTTAAAAAATGTACGAAATTATGATGTGAATTATTTATACTGCGGTGAAATATTTACACTTGCAGTGTAACGAAACTTAACTAAGTAACGTCATGACGTTAAAAAAGTTTGAAGCAAATAGATATCATTTCGCTATGAAATCTAGGAGACCACGGCGACTGCACTTAAGTATCGTACTTATGATTGAAAGTTTAGTTAATGGCGCCTAGTTTCGGCAAGTTTGGCGAATCGATGAATATTGCATAGGCTATAAATGGCCGAAAACTAAGCGAGTCGTTAGATAAATGTTTGATTTTCTTAGATAATTTTCTTGCTAACTCCGAATAGGAATTCCCGGCGAACGTTTCGCTGAGGACGAAACTTAGTCGAAACTAAGTTAAAATACAGCAATTTACGTCTATGGAAAAAAAACTATCGTTGAAATAAGCCACTGGACAGACGTACGCTCGTCGATTCGACGAATGGATTTTGAATCGGGCGGAAAGATTTTAACGAATTTTTTCACGTGAGAAAAGTGCACTTGAGCGATGAATCTATTCGTGCAGGTAATTAAAGCATAACAAGGTTACTGTGTAAATTATGACCATAAAAAACTTTCCGATCGCGATCGCGGCTTAAGTTTACATATGACACAATTTCTGCCTTTGCAGAAAAATACAGCGAGCCGTATTTGCCCTCATTTGTGCCGCTATTTTTTCCCTGCTTTAGTTTCCGCGAAGATACACGCTTCTTCCGGAGGCGCAAAAGTTGCATCAAAGACCGCGTTAGGCAATAAATTGATATTATTTTTACGATAGCTTCTAGTATTTTCAATTTCGTGTAATGCATCGCGTAAAACGTAGAAAGGATGTTTGGTTACAACGGCAGATTTATACCACGTTTCATATTTATCTCGTAAAAGATTTGAGAACACACGATGCATGATATTGCAGATATATCATATTGACTGGCGAGGAAGCGCAGATGTCTCCTATGCGTAATATCAATAATATCGAGAGGAAATGCAAGCTGCGAAACGCGAGCATTTTGTCAAGCGAATAGCAACTCGCTTGATACCTCGATATAGAATTCCGGAGATTCCAATAATTCAAGAATACGAGTACAATGCATACATTCTAATTTTATGATATTTGTCAGAGTGGCGCGTTATTTTCCCCCTGCTTAAAATCTACCGTAAAATAACTTTTATCCTACAGCATGAATTCTTATTTAGAAAGGAGATGTAAATCTTTACTCCAAATTATTAAACGTCTCTTCTTTTAAATATTATTCTTTTAAAAATAAATTCCTATAGCATTTTTGTAAAATAAATTTTATAAATTATTTCCATATTTTTTAAACACACGTTATATTCATATGTATTTCCTTTTATTAAATTACGATGTATTTAAACGTTTCCTTTTTTAAATATTCTGGAAAAATTCTTCATAGCATTCTCGTAAAACAAATGTTATAAACTATTTATATTACATACGTAATTAATTCTTTTTAACGATATTAAATAAATTTCTTTCATTATTGCTCCCTTTAGGAGAGCTCTAACTTATCGCTCTGACGGTTGTTATTTTTTTGTAACAAACTATTCTTTAGTTTTTTCTGCATAGGAAAGAGAATGCTTCTCGAGGGTATTTAAAAAAGTAAATTGTACAAATAGCGTGCAAAAATTCCTTCGGTAAAGGAATCTTTATGCCGTCGAGTTTTTGCATTCTAACGCTAGTAGGTAACTCCAACGGCGTTCGTGGAAGGTGCAATCTATTGCGAATGCTATTTTATGGCGAGCGACGACGGAATATACATAGCTGGGTAGATCGATGGAGCTTTTCGATCGGTTGTGTATAAACAGAGCTAATGACACATGCACGTAATGTTGAAGTTGCCGAGTGTGAGCGGGCAGCCGCTAATGCTCATTGCTCATGGCACAATAACGATCCGCTTATCGATCCGTAGTAAAATTGTCACGATTGATCAACACGCACGTCAACGGCATAAATTTAAACTCTTCCCCCCCCCCCCCGTGAAGTAATGTAACGGGTAATACTGAACAAATCGCTACTGAAATTTATGTTTTCTACGATCCCACATTTTCTCCCCGGCGAGAACAGCTATTAATTGAGATAATTTATCACGCAGACGGCGACCCGATAAAGCTTCCTGAAAATCTGGAAACCTTGCCGCGAGCTGAACACTTTCCAACTCAGAGGCATCGATGGAACACCAATGAGGTAAGTCGCTCATACTCGCTTATATTCGTTAGACACGAATATATTAAATTCGCGGGTCAATAGAAAACACACGTAACCCAAATACTCGAAAAGACCCAACGATGTGTGTCATTTCTCGATTACACGACACTTTTCAACTGCAATTTCGGGCGATGCACACAATTGACGACAATTGGTGGATAACATCAAGAGATGTGTTGAGGGTATACAGAGTGTCTCAAACTTAACGAATCAGCCGTTAATGGTAGATTCCTGAGATCATTTAGAAACGAAAATCTTCATACCAAAATGTTGAGAAAGATGTAGTTTCGACGCTACAAAAGATTAAAAATTACCAATCGGCGCGTTACGTTCTCCTGTGCTCAGGGACATAACGCAAGAGACCCGCGTATAATGCGATAATATCGATATCGATAAAAGGATCAATATAAAATAAAAAATAAAATTTTGCGATTGTGTCTTCGATGCGACAGTAGTCAGTAATTTGACCATTTTTATGAAGTCTTCCTCATTTTGGTATTAGAATTTTCGTCTCCAAATGACCTTAGGAGTCTATCAACAGCTGATTCGTTAAGTCCAGGACACCCTGTATACGAAATAGAACTTAAATAATATTTTCAAAATTAGAAAACTATCAAAGGAGAGAAAGAAAGGCAAAGGAAAAATCTCCTATTAAATAATATCTAAATATTTGTGTGCCTGACATTTCCCCTGATGGGTATCTAAACGTTTGCTCCACTATATCGAGCGTCCAACTATTTAACAAACAGTCTGCTAACTCGGATCACTATCAGACGATAATCCAGACATGTAATCCTCGGAATTTAACAACGGGCTACATTCCGGAACGAATCGGGGCCAAAGTATTAATAATGCATCTTACATACGAATGCACTCGCGTTCTGGCTCTCTAGAGTGCATCCCTCTCTCTTTGTGGGCGCGTGGCCCGGCTGTGGATTCCGGCTTTAGCGAACCGATCTGTAATTCCGGAATTCCGATGGATCCGTCCTTTTTTTCCGGCGTAAATTTTATCGCGATCTCGCCGGATATATATATTTACACAAGGCTGCGAGAAGTAAATAACGTGCTCCCGTTCATGTTGGTTCGTGGCGCGAAAGGATAGTTGCAGTCAATGCAGCCCCCGCTCGTGTGCAGCGTCCAGGAACGTCATTAGAGACGAGATTGCTCCACTGCTGTGGCAACAAAATCTTGCGAAATTTCATATGTAAATTGTAACGATAATTTTAATGGGTTCTTTGTTGAATTTGAAGTCAATTTTTCAATTTTAAACCGTCAATAATTAATTAATTGTGATATATAAATTGTAACGTTAATTTTAATGACGAGTTCTTTGTTGAATTTGAAGTGAATTTTTCAATTTTAAACATCAAACCGTCAATAATTAATTAATTGTGATATATTAAGGATGTTTTGTACCTGTTTTCAAAATATTGAAGAGAATGTTCAAAATATTGATGAGAATTTAATGAAAATTGTACAGAATGTCCTTACATATGTTTAGAATTTTTAAATCGATTTATTAAAGCGTTCACAAATTATAAGGATTTTAATTTGCACCGAATTAATATATGTTCTTATGGGAAACGTATAACCACGTCGACTCAAATGACAAAAATACATGGAAATAATATTCAGAATTTGTTGAAAATTTGCAAAAGTTTAGATACAGAGGAAATATTTGGTCAAATAATATTATACAAGTACTAACTGATTAAAAAGATATTAAATACAATTCAGTGAAGTTAGCCATGTATCTGTCACAAGGCGAAATTCTCTGCCAAAAGTTAATCATTTCGATTAAGGATGTTTTGTACCTATTTTCAAAATATTGAGAATTTAATGAAAATTGTACAGAATGTCCTTACATATGTTTAGAATCTTCAGTACAATTTTTAAATCGATTCACTAAGGCGTTCACAAGTTATAAAGATTTTAATTTGCATCGAATTAACATGTTCTTATGGGAAACGTATAACTATGTTGATTCAAATGACAAAAACACATGGAAATAATATTCAGAATTTGTTTCAAATTTGCAAAAGTTTAGATATAGAGGAAATATTTGGTCAAATAATATTACACAAGTACTAACTGGTTAAAAAGATATTAAATACAATTCAATGAAGTTAGCCATGTATCTGTCACAAGACGAAATTCTCTGCCAAAAGTAAATCATTTCGATTAACAAAATTCAGAATATTTCAGTAAAAACACAATAAATATTTAAAAATACATCTCTGCACTGTAGCTAAGATCAAATTGTAATATTCCACGCAATTTCTTATACTCAAAATGAATATTCGTCAATATTGATTTTCAGCTACTTTTTGCAGGGCTTGCACAAAACATCTTTAAGTTGTATAAAAAAATTAAAAATCGGAGTTATATATATATATATAAATTATAAAATATTTTTTTATATTATATTTATATTAATATTACATTTATATTATATTTCTATTATATTTATATTCATATTATATTTATATATATATATTATATATTGATCGCATTGATCTTGAAGATTTTACCGAATTGCTTGAAAGATCGCGAGCAGGGGGGTGCTATTTCAGCGTTTCGCCCAAGAGGACGAAATTCCTGGTCACGATCCTGGCGACGTCGATGTGTGCAGCGGCGCGGTCCCGGTGCCGGTGTGTGCAGCAGGGGGTGCACGTGCCGCACACACACCCTCGCACGTTGCACACATAGACAGCTTGCACCGATGCCAGTCCACACCGCTACACTCTGACCCAGGTCGGTCGGCCTCCGATCAATAGCTGGAGCCAGCGAGGAGAGCTCGCAGCCGGCGGCGCTGAGCTTTTCAGTATCGTCGAACCGAACTCAATTGCGATTTCCCCGCGTCCGCTCGACGCGACGACGACTATCATTGTAAACGATAAGTCGACCGTTCCTTCCTCGCCTCCCCCGCTTCCCCCGGTTTCCACCCCCTCGTCCTCCTCGTCGGTCCACTCCGCGCCGCTTACCTTCCCGGACCGTCCTCCCTCCGGTAAGTACCGGAAATTAAAAGTTCCTGGAAGGAGAGAGAGTCGTCGACACCGCCTTCTCGAAGAGCGTCCTCCTAGTGACAAGGCGGGGATGCTTCTTCTCCATCTCCCTCCAGCCCCTCCTGCGCCCGCGATATCCTGTTTTCCGCTCTCCATTGTTCCTCGGTAGTCTATTTTCTTCTCGCTGCTCCCGATGCGCTCGCCCATCTTTCGAGGAGCGAAAATTGGCCCCTCTCTATCTGGAATCTATTAAATTTCAACGCGATGGTCCGCGACGAGAGGGAGAAGGGCGGATATTTAAATGCAATATTTAAAGGCGCGCGAGACGAACGTGCCACCGTGTGCATCGCTAATAAGGTCAACGCAGATGGGACGAGTACTGTCACGATGCTCGCCTTATTCGATACCTATACCGTTATCAAGTCGTCGGAAGTCCTTCGAGAATTATCGATTGCGCGAATCAACAAATTTGAGCTTCGTTGAAGAACAGAAATCACGCAAAGTGATTTATACTAATGTTGATACGTCCTCCGAAAATAGAACTGACAACTTTTTATCCTCCGATCGACTATTTATATGATCATTGATTAAATATATTTTATACGACGGCACGTCAATGTCATGGAACGAAACTTTGTTCTCTTCTTCTCGTAAACATCTATCTTTTTCAAGTTTTGGACATATTTACGTACACTTCTTTTATCTCTCTCTCTCTCTCTCTCCACAAAATTATAAAAGAATTTATAAATTTTCCAAGTAGAATTTAAAGAGCTCTCTCTCTTCGTTCTAAATTTAATTTATCAATAATATTTTCAATAATATTATCAATAATACACGGTAAAAAACATTTTGTATTTCTGTTAAAATTTTCTCGTGTAAAAATTTTTGTGTTACATTTTTATATATATCTCTCTCTCCATAAAATTATAAAAGAATTTATAAATTTTCAAAGTAGAATTTAAAGAGCTCTCTCTCTCTCTCTTCGTTCTAAATTTAATTTATCAATAATATTTTCAATAATATTATCAATAATACACGGTAAAAAACATTTTGTATTTCTGTTAAAATTTTCTCGTGTAAAAATTTGTGTGTTACATTTTCATATATCTCTCTCTCTCCATAAAATTATAAAAGAATTTATAAATTTTCCAAGTAGAATTTAAAAAGCTCTCTCTCTCTCTTCGTTCTAAATTTAATTTATCAATAATATTTTCAATAATATTATCAATAATACACGGTAAAAAACATTTTGTATTTCTGTTAAAATTTTCTCGTGTAAAAATTTGTGTGTTACATTTTCATATATCTCTCTCTCTCCATAAAATTATAAAAGAATTTATAAATTTTCCAAGTAGAATTTAAAGAGCTCTCTCTCTCTCTTCGTTCTAATTTCGTTTTAATTTATCAATAATATTTTCAATAATATTATCAATAATATACGGTAAAAAACATTTTGTATTTCTGTTAAAATTTTCTCGTGTAAAAAATTTGTGTTAAATTTTTTACATACTCTTATGTTAATGTAACGTATTATCGTTGAATTATTTTGACATTTCTGCGTTGAGTTAATTTTCACCGTTTCTAAGAATTAAAAGAACACAATTAATATGTAAATGCACGAATTTTTGATGAAATATGTTATATGTTAAAATGAACAGATAAGTTGTGTTATTTTTCTCTCTATAAGTACAGTTTCCATATATTAGATCAACATATCTCTTCTGTTATTTCATATTCATCATAAAAATGTCATCATAAAAATGTTATCATAAAAATGTAAGAATAACATTTTCTTTTAATTAAATTCAACATTATAAATATATTAATTTAACATAAACTTTATTTCCAGATAAGTGTCACACTTTTGTATTAATTTTTAAACATATTCCTTGTATTATTTATTTACATACTCGCCTTCTGTTAAAATAACATTAAAATTAGAGTGGATAAATTGGGACATGTGAAATATGTTAA